ACGGCTTAAAGTCAAAAAGATTCGGGATCTTAGCCCTTGACTTCAAACGCACGAGGCCCAATCCTCAAACGATGGCAAAACGTGGAAAATTTTCGAAATTTGAGAACGCGTATCGCTTACATCTTTGCCTTGTTTGGTTTCTTATTTTGGGGAGGAGGGGGATCCTAGTGGGAGGGATGTTATCGGACGCTCCAAGCTAGTATCTAGTATTGACATTATCGGGAACTAATCTCAACACTGAATAATGCAACAATACCTCACCCATTACAAAAGTGAGATGGACACTCGCGCACAAAAGACTCACGAAACAGACATATTCACCCCTCATCCGAATGTCTAATGCGCATTTGCTAGTGCCAGCTTCTGACCTATTCCCGTTTCCCTCGTTTTGTTGACAGATGAAGTTATGTGCACTCACTTGCAGAATTTGTGATTGTGAATGATGCGCCTGCTCGTGCTCATGAGTCTTTTTCTCCATGAGTGTAAGTACGCAACGCAAGCAAAAAACGCTCACGATCGTCAGATCAAAATTTTGAAACCACGTTTCAGTTTCAACATTATATAACACCGAATACCTCACATTACCTCGCTCAAATCGCCGGTCTCTCTGGCGCCATTTGATTCGTCTGACATCACAAGCGTATTAAGTAGTTCAAGACGGCGAAGCGATACGTTCTTCGCGTCTTTCGACGATTTTCATGTAGAGGTTCATCTATTTACGAACACGACGTGAGCAAGAGCATGTTATTATAGTAAAGAAATCACGGTCGTTTTCGTCAGATTTTATGTTGGCGTTGGGTCAGAATGACGTTATATCAATTAACGACATTTTTGCCTTGATTGTTCCCTCGAAAAACAAAAAGTTCATCTGCGACTGTCAAGAAACTGTACTTGTTTACTGTGCCATCTATACAAAGAATGCAAAGTCAGCCTTGTATGGTGTGATGAAATCTTTATGGGGTTCTCCACATGGAAATCGTACTTGCTCTGCCTCTACGGCTACCTATTTTATATATTAACGGTTTATCGTGCCCGTGCGCGTAACTGTAAATATGTTATTCTCATTGAGTTTGACGTTCGTCTTCGTTTTTTCTTCATTAAATGTTTCTGCTTTTTAAATTCGACTCGTCTAAAAACTAGTACCTGCTCTAGAAGTTGTTGCCCGATACATTACTTTTCGATTCAAACTACGTGAAAATGATATATAATCAAACGCGATTTGCTCGGCAGACATCGAATGACCGACCGCACTGTGGACACGCTTGTCGTGTGACACCTGATAATTTGGACACAAAAGAGTTTCCTAATTGTCGCAGAATCAAAATGATCAAAGTGCTGTGCAGAAGGTAGTAGACAACGATGAAGTTCGCGTACCTGGTTGTAAGAGCATCAAATTCAAAATGAAGAAGACCTTCCTGTTGCACATTTGCCCGACCACAGTTATAACACTGCACAAGCTTGCACTCTAGCTCCAAATACGAATGGCTTGAAGAGGAGTACTCGTTCATCAACCTGGGCGATGTATCGAGTGGAGTCTGGTAGTGGACAGATCTTGGGCAGAAAGACCTCATATGTGGTTTCTCCCTAGTGCAGGCCTACGTACCTGATGTCTCTTGTTGTATCTGAGGGAACAAGATCATAGACCACATTGTCTTTCTAGTGCTACTGTCACATCATTTTTGATAGTCGTAGACCTGGGGCTGCCTTGATATCAAATACCATTTAGATCTTCTCCTCTGAGAGCCCCCATCTGGCGTTGCTAGAAGACCCAGGTCCTCGTGGGAGCCATCGAGTTTCGAATGTCGTAGAACAGGACTTTGACTCAGCATCCTCAGTCGCCAGGCCTGTGCTCTTTGCTCCCTGGAAAGCGCTGTATCAGGTGCATGACGGGGCGAAAAATACCGACCAGATTTTGAACGCAGAATTAGTTTTGCGTCATCGTAAACGACATTCTCTGAAGCGCTGCTCTCACGGCCACCTCGAGATGCCGGCCTGCATTAGAAGAATCCTTGTTGTAGTACAATAAGTGCTTGATTTTGTTCACCTAGTTCATGATTAGACGTGGTCGTCTTTCAGAACTGAAAAATTGCATCTGGAGCGGCTTCTTCTGCTTCGTGGAGCCTTAATTGAAGGGATACTGCTGTCCACTCATACTGGCTGACAGATCGCGCCCGCTTGCTGGTGACCTAGAGCGGCTACAGCGGGCACTACTTTCTGACTTACGCTTCCTCGAAGAAAACGTGCAATTAGTTCGAAACGAAGAAGCTAGGTTCCAGTTTGTTGTCAGAGATGAGCTGCCGATTAGCGATCGAGACCCGGGACCGCTTGAGGTGCCTGGCCGGTTTCGGTTCAGATGCCGCTTCGTCTTTACTGGCGAGTACTCGCGGAGACCGTCCTTGTAGTGTCGATAGCCATTCGCAAAAGTGGAAACGCGGGCCTGAAAGATTGCACCTGTCCAACCCTCAGCACGGGGAATCTGCCGCTCGCTGTGAACCACGACCATGTTGATTTCTCTTTAGCTATGGGTGTATATTATGATGTTGATGACTCTCTTTATTTTTCTGTACATACTTTATCGGATGAGTTCAACTGCTTTTGATACTAAGTACTTAATAGGCTGAAATACAGAACTTAAATGGTCTACGCGTTAGAGGCGTGGATTTGGCGTTATCTTTCGAAGTAGGCAAACGGCATTCAGATTCATGATTAATGACTGTAAACTCTAAACCATTTTCCAGGAGGACATCGAGTTCCCTCACTATAAGAATCATCTTCAGCACAATCAGGATGACCTTGCCCTTGCGCATGCGCTCAGTTTTTCGACATGACTGTCTTTAAGGCTTACATCCTTCCCACCAGGGAGACAGGCACGGTACTTTTTGACTAGTTACCTGTTACCGTTCTCAGAGCGTGAGTCTGCTGATGAGATCGAACAACATAAGGAACTCTTTGTCAACGGGTGTAAGTGTCAACGTAGACACTAAATACGGGACAAAACAAGCAGGCTTCGTGCTACACCTCCTAGGGTTTGGGTTGGCCTTTGGTGAAATAATTATTCCAGGATTACGTCCACGTCGCGGAGGTGGTCCCAGACAGTGAAAAAACATTGATAAAGAGGAGCCCTACGAGCGACGAAACGTGCTGCATTAAATGGAATTAGACTCTATGCATCAAAATCTGACCATCAAGCCCTGAGGTGATGAAGTGAGAGGGCCCGAGCACCTGCGCTGAGGAAACTACTGCGGTTCGCTGCAAGAGACTCGTGCTTGCGTGCAGGGACACTCGGGTCTCCAAGCATGTAACACTCGTTGGATTTCGGCTCAGTGTTGCAGCAGGTGCAGAGCTGGAAGCTCCTCCGCGTCCATGTGATGTCTGCCAGCGACGACACCCGCCGCTGTGGTCGATAGTGACAAAATTCTGAGCGTCGAGGACTAGAAGTTGTTTTACCGCCGCTTCGTGGCCCTCTATACGATGGATGTAGCGCTGAGTACGCAGATCGAACCATCGAACGTCGCCTTTGCGGTTGGTCACGAGCACTATCCTATCGTGGCCCCGACCAGCAGACTCTGGTGCTCTGGAGATATCGTTGATTTCGTCTCCGTTGAATGCTGCGAATGCGTTCACATTAGCCGCTCTTTGTCCTTTGCTAGAGCTCGAAATGCCGCCGAGCTGTAGCTCGGTCCAGGCCAAATTTTTGGTTCGAGAAGGTGCGGCGATCGAAGTCAGAGACTCATATTCTGTGGGTGCAGTGCTAACATCGTGGTAGTATTGCACGATGTCCTCCTGAGTTGTGCCCGGTTGAGGGTGCGCAGGCGCTGTGTCGAAGCGAACAGAGGAAGGATTTGCGACGCTCGCAAAGCGGTTATTTGGGTTCCCTCCGTCGCCTGGCCATAGACAAGCCACGCGAGTGTTGATCAACGCGTCTACCGTGGAATTTGCGTACTCTCGGGTTGAAATTTTGTCCCTCAGCACAAGTCGTGAGTGTGGCGGGGAAAGGAGATCCCAAACACCAAGCGAACTATGGAAATCGTCACAGACCGGCACGTCCGTTGGAGCCCCACACGTCACGAGACACTTTGAGGATAAAAAATCGCCACCGAGAAGTTGAGAGTGCGCGGCTTCGGTTGAAAAGGTCAAAAACGGAGGTATCGGCTCCATCGGGATTGAATTCGAACTATCTACAGGTATGGAGGTAGCCGTAAACGGCTGATCACCCACAGTGGAAGCTGAGCTGGTGCCTAGCACACGGGTATCAGCACTGAACGTGCTTCCGTCAGATGAAGGTTTATCACGCTTTGCTTCCGCCAAGTTACGGTTCAATCTTCCACCATGGTTGTCGGCAGCAGTTTCGCAAACAGAAGCAGGTGCGCCAGAAACCTCTTGTGAAGTCGTAGAGCCGCCCTGTGAGTCAGACGAAGGCGAGGAAAGAGATCCCGCGTCATCATCAGTTGAAGTTTCCGATGTTGATTGATGAGCTGCTTCGAGGTAACTCTGGTCGTTCTGATGCTCAACACGGGCGGTACTGTAGTGTCCCTGTGAGTTAGAACAGGTGGGAAAAATGGATGGCTCTGGCCTAGAAAAAGTCGGATCACGGCCTACGAAGGCACCTGGAATATCGAAGAGAGCCACGTTCGGAGAGTTTGCAGCTCCTCGGGTCCCGACGATGAGTTGGGTACTGGAGCCGCCGCCGAATTGTAGGAGTGAAACGCGATGTGATGGAACGTACGCCCCCGCCTTCAAATCAGTAGCCGGTTTGCCTGGTGTGCTGTCCGCTTCGCTACTCTTTGGAACGTCGCCAGATGCGGGTGGCCCTACCGTTGATGAGGATGTTGACGGATTCGTTGGGCTTACCCCGACGTCGCCCTTTCTCGGCATTCCATTAGTTGCCGTAGGACGGGCAGAGGCAGAAGATACCGAACCAAATGGAGTTTGATTCCCATCTGCGACCGGTGCGTGTGAAATCGGATTTGTTGCTTGCTTTGCAGCACGGCTAGCCTCTGCCATAGCTTCCCCTGCAACCGTTCTGCCTCCTGGAAGAGGAGACGATGCCACAGTTGTACTACTAGATTTACCACGACCATATCCTTGTTCTGCAGTCCGATCATTTTCGTTTTCACTACTTAGTCGCATATTGAGTGTAGTGTCAAGATGTGCTCTCAACGCGTCCTCAGCGTCTTCCGCAATCGTCGCTGCACGCAAAATGGCATCTAAACCTCTGGATGTCGATTTCACAGGTGAATTGTCGCCTAGAGTGTTGTCGAGGACAGTTAAGTCTAGTTCCAAGCACGTTGGTCGCGAACGTGCAGCACTGCTCCCGGTAGGAAATCGCCGCACCGTTGCTGTTGGACCGCATTGGGACGCAGTGGCAAAAAGAGGAAAAGAACAGTGCACTGTGCTAAACGATACCGCTTCTCTGGTGGTGAAGGCGTCGCTCTCGCGGTCATCTACTGTGGGCAGGTTAATATAATCCCCTGACGTAATTGAATGAAACGAGTCGGCTGAGGCTGTTGAGAGTCCAGCGCAACCGCCGTTGACATTTTGTGAACCAGGAGTGACGCCGTTCGTCTTCGCTCCACCAGACGCTTTTGGCGGAGGAAGACTGCTAAGGCCGCTAAGGAATAGTTCGAGCCTTGGGCTCGCTCCCGCGACTACATCTTTCGCTTGCTCCGGCTCAGACATGTCGTTGCTTTTGTTGCTAGAAGTCATGTCGCGGAGACCTGCGATCAGAGCCGCGAATTCTGCTTCGCTTCTAGGCCGAGCAGATGCGAACATGGAGGAGACCGTTTCCGAGAAGCAGCACAAGCAAAGCGTGCCCGAGAGATCCGTAACACAGGCATGAAAGGCGACTCCTCCGGAACTCTTTTTTAGAACGAGAGTCTTCATCAGCTGACTGCCCATTGCGAGACTGCTCAGAGGATTCCCGTCCGCACTTCCCCCACCTGCGCCCCTTACCACAGACATATCCCCGACGCCACCCAGAAGCGTGAAGTCTGAGGAATTTCCGGCGGATTCCGCGCGTTCGCGCTGTGATTCGGTGGTGTACAAATTTCGATCAAGACCGCGCACTGCGGTGAAATCGGGTGTGTCGCCAGATGATAGGCTCCCAGGCTCGGAGTTTTCTCGATGTAGCCGACAAGCATCTGCCGCTGCGCATGCTTGAATAACTTTACGTTTTTCGCGCACCTCCATTGCGGACGGATCGTGCCAGACAAAACGAAGCGTTTCTGTCCGACACTGCAGCCTTTCCCAAAGGGCTAACGCGGCGAGAGATCCGCTCGATGCACAGCGAAAGAGTTCGTCTAAAGGTTCGAATCGAAGCGTTGACTTCCAAGACTGTGACGAGTTCACCGTACCTGGTCGGCCTGACGAAGAGGAGGCCCCTGTGGCATCCTGATCAAGATGAACATCATATGAATTATTGCTAGTGCCCGTCCCCGTGCTACGGAAAAAACCTCCTGACTGCACTCTTGAGGTGTTTGTACGCTCCGCGAGTCGCGTCCCAGGGGACGAGGGCGCGCTGCCCGATGCCGAGCCCCGCGACATGTGCGTCTGCGACGCACTGACTTGTGGCAAAGCGCTTCCTGCACGTGGCCTCATAAACGCGCCTCCTGTGTTGCTAGAAGGGTCGCCTGACGCTCCGTAAGCATGCTGCCAAGACAGATGATCACCACCTCGCGTTATCCAAGCAAGACGATCTCGCGAAACTTCTACCGAAAAGGTAGCTGAGTCGTGCTGCAGTATGAAGTCAATGTTACCGATACCACTATAGCGTTCGACCATCCGGCGACGGGCTAACGCTCGTAGTGCAACGAAAAAGTGACGCAGACTGGGAACGGGTCCTGCAGAAGACGATAAGCCCGCTGCTCTAGAAGTACTGTCGTTCAATCGTTCACCAGATCTTGTTAATCTTTCCGTCAACCGGTAAAGTAGCATCACATGCAAGAAGTCACGCAGCAGCGGACCGTCTGTACCTGCAGTCGTAGCAAGTAAGCTTTTCCGAGTAGAATCAAACAGTTGTTGTGTCGCTGCGTCCTCTGGAGATAGCTCCATGTCCGGAGTCTTGTAAACCGTGGACGCTGGCTGAATCGGAGGTAATGATTGACCGGGTGCGCCTTCTTCATCGACTGTTGCTGCAGGTTCACCATTCAGTGCCCAATGGCTGATAGTCAGAGCTATGGTGCCAGAGAGTGGATTTGGCGGTTTGGCGAGAGAAGAGAGGCTCAGGCTATGGCCCGCTACATTCGAGGCTGTAGCTGTGTTCGAAGATTCACTAGCACCCCCTTGCTTCCCCGGTCCTTGCGGGCAGGGTCGATGAGCAGGGCCACAGAGCAGCTGCTCTGACCGAAGCAGGATTAACCACATCAGAGCACGCGAAAACTGCTGTTTCGATTTGCTTCCGGAATCTGCATCGTCATCGAGATAATCATCCACGAAGATCTCCTTCCCATCTGAAGAGGAGGCTTGATCTGCGTTGTCGTCGTGCTCGCTTCCCGCATTCAAAAAGTCTAACGCCCACATTGGAGCACTTCCCACAACAGCGGGAGCACCATCGACTGCCGTGCTCATACCTGTAAGGACCGCGCTCCATTGAGCTGTTGGCGGTGGAGCCGGAGTCCAGAGTCCAAGCTCGGGTGGCATTAACAAGTAAACCGCTAACAGCGCACACAGGCCTGCTTGCATAGGAGGTGAGCAACGTGGAAGGGCCGCTTGCAGTGCCGCGACTGGAAGGTGCAAACGACCACCTCGCGATTCAATGACACAAAGTTGCAACCGTTCTGCGATCACGTTCTCGACGGAAGCGACATTTAGTCCCTTCTGCAAACGTGTAAGGGCCAGAAAATTACGCCGCTTTGATGGACCACAGGAAGTATTTTGCGTGACAACTCCCAATTGGCTCGACTCCGAGGTCAGCATATCGATGTTAATTGATGACGTTCTGTCAGACGTCCCACCTGTTCCTGAGTTTGAAGAGGTTGCACGAGTTGACAAGCTCATACTACTTGCCCACAGCTGCAGCATCTCCGCGCGGGAAAGGTCCGAAGGCAGAGCCGCAAAATCGTCAGCACTTTTCCCCATACCTGCAAACAGCGGCTGCAGAGATCGTAAAACCGGGAGACTCCGGTCGCCCTCCAGAAATGATAAAATCGGTTGACGGCGTCGGAGGTACAACGACGCAGCAGCCTTGCTTCTTCTTGTCGGCAGAAGCAAAGCGCTTGCACCTGAAGTGAATGCCACAACACCGGGAACCCCGCCATCCAGTCTTGGCTTATCATCACGCAGATCGATCTTCTTGTCGATTCGAAGGCGCTGCACTAAGAGCTCCCTCAAAGACTGTGTCGCCATGCTATCTGCCCCGGTAATGCGGAGCCCATTCAGCTGGTCACAAACGTCAGTGACAATCAAAGCGGAATCTTGCCCGTGCGGTGAAGAAGCGGCTGAAAAATTCGGCATCGCAGACTCTCCTGGTTTCCCCCGTCTGTTTGTATCAGTTCTGAGGGCGTGGACCGCATCCACATATTTCCCCGCATGCCAGAAAGAGATACTGCGAAGCCAAGGGTCGCCAAGCGATGTCGCGAGTGGCAACAGTTCGTCGATTGCAACGTGATAGACAAGTGGAGGGACCTTCACCCAGCACGACGCCGTGGCGTCAGCAAGGTCGTCTGCAGCGCCGGCTCCATTCATGAAAGAACCAGCCGCACGGTCGCTTGTACCACCTGTCTGTTGCCCAGTAGGTTGTTCGCGATCTTGGACTTGGCCCATCTCGGCTTTATAAACTTCGTCGCGCTCTGCACTGCTCCATGGTCTTTGGGCATCGACATTGACATGCGGCAATGGTGCTACGCGCGCAAGTACCAGAGCGAGCGCGAAGTCCTTCACATACCGGATAACAACGTCAACCGCGTCGCGATAGCACCCTGCGAACAGGAAGAAGCTTGCAGCTAGGTGATAACGTTTTTGCCGCACCAGCTCATAGGCATTCTTTACTGCCTTCGCGCGATTTTCAGGGTCGTTTTTCATGTCCTGGCGCAAAAATTCCGCGATGGCGTCACGCTTCGCTACCTTATACAGCGCCGCAAGGAGACTTTGTCTACCCAGCGCAGCATACCAGAGCGCCACGTCCTCCGGATTGCGATCACAGAGAGGCAGCTCCTTTTGCAACTGGAGTATGCGCTTCGGTAACGCTTCTAGTAATTGTCTGCACAGGGTCTCACTCGCTGCCCAAAACGCGAATCCCGAGTGGTTTCGGAAACGCGCCCAAACGTCTTCTGTTATTTCTTCCTTTTCCCATTCAAAAGTTATCGCTCCACTTGTGCGGTCGCCTCCACCGCCGTCGCCCGCTCCTCCAGTGGAGGTACCACCGTGCTTGCCTGTGCTGTCTTCGAATATCATCGCCGCGACCCGATCGTACAAGACTTGCTGATCACTGCTATGAAGAGCCCAACACAGGTCCTCCGTGGACAGCTTGGAAGCTAGGCAGCTTAACGGTTCTCCATGGTACTTGGTCGTGTATATGCGGTGAAAGTGCCACGTCCGCAGGAACGTACGACCCGCATCGTCCGATGCTGCGTCCTCGAAGGCGGACGACGACGAAGACGACCCGCCGATCTGGAAATTTGGCATGTGGTCGGGTGCTTCCGCCGCAGCTGCACTTGACGAGGATGACGAGAGCATCTGTGCTAAGTAGGCCTGTTCCGGCGGAGTTAGAAAAGGCACTGCCGTGTAGTGCAAAGACTCGACAACTTCTGTCATTTCCGCCTCAGGAAGCAGCCAGCCGACGTTCGTTTCTTCCTTACAATTTGATGCGAATGAATCGTGGAGAGCAGCAGTGCCAGCTCCATTTGCGTCAGCCGACGATATGAAAAGCGCGTCATGAGTACTAGAACTTACAGTAGCTTGCGCTGCTCCAGGATCACCTAGAGATAGAAACGCCTTTTTCCACGAGTCGTCGTCTGGCTCTGAGTCATCGTCGCGGTCATCAAAGAGTGCGCTCGCATTGTCGCCAGGTTGTGCACTTGTTGATATATGCGATCCAGCACCCGTCGTGGTGATCATGCTTTCACTTCCACTTTCCTCTGCTGGCTTGTCTTGTGGATTATAATCGTCCAACTCGACTCCTGCAACACCCGCGTGTTCGTCTGAGTCTTCAAGAACGTCTTGTACAAAAACGTCCCAATCGCCTGTCCGCAAGCCCTTCAACAGCGAACTTAGTATCGAACGCACAAGGGCTTCGTCCGCACCTCCGCGGCAACTGCGTGTAAGAAGAAAGTGGATTGCGTCGGGGTGATACAAGTTCGTGGGCCTCTGCGTGGCCTCGATGGAGCGTATCGAGAGAGGGAAAGCGACTACTTTGTAGGGTGAAAGCGGCGCTCCGGGTCCTCCCGCGGTAAGGTCAACAATCAAAATACCGTTGCCTGTCGGAGCCCAGTGGACACCAGTAGTGGTTGGCGGGACTTTCATTTTCTCTGAAGCCCAGCGTTCCCCGTGCAGCTGTGACCGTGCCCGGGCAAAAACCACGGGGCCGTAAAGTCCCATGGGGTGGGCATGTGCAGCCCATGAGGCGCTACCACTCTTCGCAACTGTACCGCCGCTCTGATTTTTAAGTAGACTTTGTTCATCGTATTCTTCCGAAAATAAAGAAGGCCCGCTCTTTCCATACGCCAGAGCGACTAGAAAATCGTTGTCGCACCTACGGAATTCGAAGAATGCATCGGAGATGAAAAACGTTGAGTCTGGAGCTACCCGATTATCGTTCATGTCTACTCCCGTGCTGCCACGAGCTCCTGCTTCGTCATTCGCACCGCCTCCAAGTGTTGGAAGAATGGATCGAGCCAAGTTATTGGACTGTTGGTATAGACCCTGGCTCATGTCGTGCACTGGTCCCTGTGCGTTCCACGCTCGGAAGGCAATGTCAGCCTTGGCGGTTTGGTGCTTCGCAAGCAAGGCACCGACGCTGCCTGCAAAGGGCAGTTTCGTTGAGTGCATCAATTGGAAAGCAGAAAAACCCACAGGAGTCGGTTGCTGGCGTCTCTCAATGCTTGGGGTATGAAAAAAAATTGAGACTGTCGCGTCCCCGCACACGACACCGAAGTAGTTGTCGAGCGTGTCAAAAGCTACAACTTTCAACGAAGCAGGCTCACTGCTAAGCTTTGCTGGTGGACTCGCAAGTGCCGAGGAGGCGTTGCTTTTGCTTCCAAGAGGAAGGAGAGAACTAGTCGTGGCTGTTTGCTCCGCGGCTTTGCTCTTATCCTGAGACAGGACAGAGAGGTCCAAAACGGGTTGCGAATACACCGTTTGCGTTGGAATACACGCAGCGTTGATCAACGTTGAGCCACGCGCGCAATAGAGCAGCTCAGCGCCTTCTGCCTCCGCGATGAAATCTAGCCGCTTTCGGATACACAGCAAGAAAGGTAGACTACTTCGTGCTCGTTCTATGCTCTGTGACTCTAATGAAATGACATGTCGCGCCTGCCAGTATACGAGAGTTGATACAGGAGCCACGACCGTTGTACTCGGTCCAGCTCGGTTGGTCGCACTTCCGGGACCTCCTGCAGGTTTGCGTGGGTTGGACCCGGTTTGGGAAAGTTGAGACGACTTGTGACTTCTAGCCGTACTGCTTCCGTCTGCAGAGGTTCCACGTGCGGACTTGAGTGCAAACTGTCCTACCTCTGCCCGCCAATCTCGAAACAAAAGCACAGTGAAACAGAATTTGATGATGATCTCCTCAACACCTTGGATTTCTTCGTAAGGGCGTGGGTGTTGCGACATATCACTGGCGTTTCTACGAGGAGCATTCGCTGCAGACCCAGCATTCGCTGCAGAGGATCCAGTCCGACTGGGTCGTCGGCGCGCAACTGGTTCCAACCGCAAGTCACCGATCTGTGAGACGCGTGCGCTCAGGAGCGCGCCATTATCCCTTGTCACGGCCAGTAGGAGAGGTGGATAATTTCGCACATTAGTCGTGTCCCAGACCACACGCCGCAGATCGCATCCTGCGGTCCCGAGCGAGGAAAAGTGCTCTGCTGACGACGTCGAGACTTCTGGTGCAGACGCGGCTGGTGCGGTTTTCTCCAATTCAGCTTGACCGCTGTTGAGAGATGGCAAATACCCAGGTGACATTTCGAACACTCGTAACACCGATTTTGCGCGCGTTGTGGGAGCCGGTGTCGCCAAATGCTCGATTGTCGCGAACAATCGCAGTGACGGATGAACTGCGACTGTAGCAACTGAGCGACCCCCACGACTGTCTTCTTGCTCAACACAACTTTTGGGAAATCGATCATTTATCAGTATTTTGCCGAACGATTGATGTAGTCCAACGCTACTGTTCGTCTCGTTCGTTTCGACGGAAGTAAATCGCTCAATTTCCCTCTTCTCGTGCAACGCAAGGGTCTGATACAACCTGCGCTTCCAAGTTGGTAGTTCACGAGCATTTGCAAGTTCGCGTGACGGAGTACGGCGGGCGATCAATGCATTTTTCTTGCGACTTGCACGACCCCAGATCTTTTGCTGCGCCTTTGCATCATCCGGGTTATTCGCAGCCGTGAATCAATGACTACAGGGGAGGTCACAGCAATCCAACTCAACTCTTCAATCATAGTCGCCATGCAAAGCATATTTATCAAACCAACTAAGTACGGGGGAGATAAGAACGAAATCACATCAGGAATCAAGCGGCTGAGTCTCACGCAGTAAAAAATAGGCCATTGTATTCTTAGTGCAGCTCATTAACGAACAATAAAGATCCAGTGCTGAGATTTACGAGTAACGAAATGTTCAAAAACCAGTGACCATACATTGCCAGCAAACACTTGAGTTGTTCTCTGGTGCCAAGAAATCCACATCCGTGCGTGATCGAATGTCTCTGTTCCATGCTATAACTCGTGTCCCGGTCCTCACTGGGCTCGCGTTTATTATTGAGCGCCGCATATCTCCACACGTCGTCAAGCAGGTGAGAGCAATGCCAACATGTTGTGAGTTGTTAAAGAGGTGACGCGCAGTGACGCAATACCAATCCAATACCCGTGGTTTCGGGTTTCCATGCTCGTCGAGGCAAGCAGTGTCAATCTCAGACGTCGCATCGCAGGCCCTCTCTTGGCAGTCGATAACCAGTCCCGTTTCAGAAAATCTCCAGACCTTCAACGAATTTGCTTCTAAGGTAACGAAGCACATAAGCGCCGCATCATCCGGAGCACTAAGTCGTCGACAATTATTGTCTCCTTGTGGCCTCTTGAGAATGGCTTCAAGAGTATGCCGCGAAGATAGCGTTCGACGTGTAAGCTCACCTTCCCTATTTCGTTTCGACGGCGAAAATAGAAAACTACTCACTCCCGTCAGCTCGGAACTGCTACTACTTGAACTTGCGACGTCGTCTTTGGGACGCGAGTCGGCCCTGTTATCCCTGCTCTCTTGGGGTGTAGCTGGTACGTGACCGTGCGGCCGCAGCGGCAGACGGTCCCTTACCACGTATACTGCAGCTTTTTCGTCCTCTCTCAATGAGACGTCTAACGTAACTGCCATTTCTGCCGCTAGGACTGGCGGCTTCACAAAAGCCGCATCGAGCACAAAGGCTGGTGATGGCGCTTTTCTTCGCCAAAGCAGTCGGAAATCGAGTGGTTCGTCGCGCGGTTGCTCTCTCCACACAGAAAAAGTGTCGTCTGTTTCCCACACCAAGAGGTGAAGACGTGCGTTTCGTGCCGGCGCCCACTCAATTTTCCGCACTGCAGTGGGATGCGTAAAGACACAGCTTGCAGCGGCACGCACACATCCGAGATCACCTCTGGCCATTGTCGAGGCGAACGGCATGGCAGACGCCGACGATGACGCACTCCCACCATGCTGCTCTCTGAGGCTGCGTCGTCCGAGTTCTGACATAAGTGCGTCAAACTGATGCGATTGTGGGTCGTGCAACACATTCGTTCCTGTCGACGTGTCAAGTACTGGAAAAGTAAATTTTTTCGAAACTACGCGGCAACCTGGCCGGAGAAGACGCGCCGATGGAGCACCGGCAGAACGCTGCAATCCATGATGCAATCGATTTCTTAGGTCGTTCTTGTTCTCTTTATCGACGCCCTTGTCAGCTGCACCAGAAGCGTCACCGGCCTTGTTTTTCTTTGCATCAATTGCACTTCGGTTTTCTCGACCGCGTCCTCTGCCGCTACCATCAAGACGCCCTCCGTTGTCGAATACTTCACTACTCCACAGTCTCACACGGTTTTCAGCGAACGACGCAAGAAAGCGCTCGAATGGACTCAGAATCACATGAAACCCGTAAGATTCGCGCAAAAATTTCCGCCGTCGCGCCTCCACAAACTCGGAGAAAGCCGCGTCTGATTCCAGCAATCGTTGGTAGTAGTCGCGGGACCCTCCTCCAAGTGGAGGCATCAACCTGCGTGACTTGACACCAGGCCTTCGTCCTCGTTGATGAGGTGACAACTTTTCTTGATGGTGGATATAAGACTCCCATGACACCTCACCCGGAAGAACTGGTGGTCCCGGCTGACCGAAGCGACCGAAGCTGCTTTTGGAAAGCGAGGAAACTTGAAAAAACGAAGAGGAATTATCGTCGTCATCGGAACTCCCGTCGCCGTGGGCGATAGAACTGAAACTCTCCCACGCCAAACGGAGTTGCTGCTCGTTTTTTTGTTTCTCGTCCGTCTCAGCGAGTGAGAGCGGTGCCATGAGATTTAGCCAGACATCAGTAAGCGACAACTCTTCGTCGTAGAGAAACGGTACTTTGCATATGCGTTCGGAACCAATGTTGAGTGTCACCGTGCTTTCACATGAGTGTCCGGCTGGCGTGCCAGCGCTTGCTTCGGTGACGGAAACAAGAACGTCCCACACACTGACGCAAAAAGTGTCAGACCGGTTGTGGTGGAAGAGGGAAATACTCGATCGACCGAAGACGGCCGAAACGATTCTCTCGTTTTGCAGCTCATGCACCACAGTTTGGACTGGCCGCCATCTGCCAGACTCCACAGTGTACAAAGATATGCTGGTCTGTTACATTTGGAAAAAGGAACTATCGGTTTCACTGTTGGTTCCACATCATCATGCTGTTGCTGTCGTCTGAAAGCAAATGTAACGAAAAGAGCCTATTCTCCTGATGCCAATATTCCGAATCTATGGCTAAAGACAATGAAGATCTATTTGTATACCGTGGTGACAACGATGAATGCTGCGAGGGCCGGATGCCAGGCACACCGCAGGACTTCTGGACCCACATCAATGCGTTGGGACTCAGCGAGTTCGCGATACACTAATAGGCTGCTCTCGTGCACGCAGAGCGCATATTCCTGCAGTGGGTGAGCAATCCACATGATGGTCCTTTTGATACTGCTGGTGCTGCTCCACGGATGATGCCCCAGGACGTTGTAACACTTCAATTTTCGCCATGCGCATGGGCATGGGGGGCAGCAAGGTCTATTAAGACAGCAATCGGACAGCCTGTATGCTCCACTGGTGACGAGGTCGAGCCCGGTCTTCGTCGCGCAAGCCCACTTCGCGAAAGGACGCAAGCATCGACACCAACATTTTGTTCAGGCCTTCTGTGGCAAGTAAGTATTTGGTCAAGTAGGTCAAGATAAAGACCAGCAAGCACAATATTTGGGATTCTTCACTCAGAACAGTTACAGTTTCCACCAGCACGGTCTTTTTTCTACGCCTGAAATCTACTCAACATGGTTCTGAACTTTCACATTCACTGGTAAGACGAACAACTACGCATACAGCGTCACTCTATCTCTAATTCCAAGACAGAAGACATCAGCAGCCGCCAACTCTGAATCTGACTAATGCTATACTAACGATGAAGGAGGCCCGCTGCCACAACGACGATCCAAACACCTAGATTTTTTTGTCCACGTGCACATTGTGTTACCTGCGCAAACCGGAATTTTTTCCAATCCTATGTACAGGGTTTTGAATAGATGTAGGTGCTGCAATTTTTTCGATGTAGCGTAGTTTTTATCAGGACTCAGGGGGCTCAAATCTGAGGGAAACACCTGCAAAGGTAATGGCCTTGCTTCATCAACATCACGCACATCACCGAGAGGTTGCTAGAAGTCGCCTACAATTTTTGCAGCCTAGTACAGGTGCAACCACATTTAAGCACGAGGTCAATACCATCATCTACGGGTGTGCTCAAGAAGGCTGCGTGTCCATGTCCGTCCTCGTCGACGATTTCAGTTGATTTCTAAAGCTAGGGTTTGAAGCAATACTTCTTCAGTTTTTCGTAGTCGGACAGCTGTCGACCCATATCCCTTATCTCCTTCGTTGTTGGTTCTTGTCGCAGGTCCCGTGGAACATCGGTAGGTTTGGCCAGGACTTTCGGTAGTGCTGTAGTAGGAAGTTAATGGCAAAAACTGATGAATTCGAAAAGATCACAAGCACAAGAGGACAATTCACAATATGAAGAAATTAGGTGGTTAATACTTGCTAGCTTTCAGTTGAGATCGGCTAGCGCGACAAGAAACACAACAAAGAATAACCATGAAAAATGTGGCTTCGCTTGTTGCGGATGTCCTAGAACAAGTGTGGTCACTTAGCTCTAGCTGCGTCCTGCTCCTACGTATTTTTTGTACCAGACATGCCCAAGGAAAGTGTAAAGAATTACGATGTGCTGCGTTGTCCATCTGTCGGCACTGCTTGTAGTATGTGATGTCACCATTGATTCGACTCATCGACTGACGAGTGTCGACTATGTAATTGCAGAGCCGAGATTTGTTTTCTTCCTTAACGGCCTGCTGATGATGAAATCCCCACGGCATCGTCCCAGACGTCAAATAAATGATCTGAAGTCTTACTTAATTTAGGTGACGATCCATCAACGTACTACTGGTTTAGTACATTCATGACATGTTTAACGTTGCACTCACATACTAGCACAACCACAACGTGGTCTTTGTACTTGCATTACTCTTACTACGAACGATCTTGACCTATTTTGCAATGTAACAAAAGAGATTGCAGCTGCGATGCCACAATTTCATTGTACAACAAATGACGTCTCGTTCCTTGACTGTGGTGCCTGTGATGTAGTAAGTTGTATCTGCTACTTTGTACCTAAAACTACTAGAGATTATTCCGAATGGTAGTGTTGTTGTAGTCTTCATTTAGAAAACTGACTCGAGGACGACGACAGATCTCGATGAACAAGGGTAAGTCTTAGTCTGACCTTTCAAGCATGATCGTACATATGATTTTTCATCGAGTACCGATGAATACCAAGTACCGAAAAACAAGAACGTGATCTCGCGCAGAAACGACAGAGGATATTCGTCACAACACCGAGCTCTCAGCACATCACTGGGACAGAAAGTATCAACATGCTTTTGTTTAACTCTGTTTTTGTTGCAAAGATACGCAAATCAATGGGGATCACGGCTTTTTACCACGTTAAGACTTCTAGTTTCACAAACACAATTGACCGCGAGATAATCTAATACGTACGACGCAACACCAGATCAACACCAGGTCACGACGCTCTTCAAGTTGTTGAGTGAATTTTCATCCAGTTGCGTTTTCTTGGAACAGTTTACACACAACGGGTTGATGCAAATCGGTCTGATGTAGTTTTAAAATATGTGAGCTCTTTACTTCATCCGAGTCCCCAAATCCAATTCCAAAAGATGAGATATCACAACCTATGTCGAATTAATTTCAATATGAAGCGCTAGAAGAAACGTGTAAACGACAGTGCGTTGTGTTTGATTACGGTTACAGCATCCCGCTTGAGAACCCGCCGCTATTGCCACCGCCCCACGAAGGGTTGCCCAGACCGCCTCCAGGTTGAAGATTTCCTCCCAAGGATGAGCCGGCTGGTGTCCCGTCTGCCGTGGCACTCTTGGTTGCGCGAGCAAGGACCTCCATCTGCACGAAATTCTTGGTGATATGCATTCCATCCACCACTAGATTCGGATAGTCCTGCCAAAATTCCTTGTGAGGAATTCTTTCCCAACCCTGCGCTCCGGTTACGTACGCTTTCAGGCAAGCGCCTTCAGATTTATTCATTTCACGACGCAATACAAAAGATCAAGAAAAATGTGAGGAACATATATCCAGTAGGTCTCTTTGGAAAAGCTCAGTATCTATGTATAGGTATACACACACCAAACTTCCACTGTCTGGTCATAGATTTTCATATAAATTTTCCTCAAATATGAAGACAGCCTTTCTTGTCCAAACAAAAGCAACTTGTAACTTGGAATTTGGAAGCATACCCACCAAGCAACAACATAGCTGTAATAATAGTACCTATCGCGCAGTATAGTAGCATGATAACCGTGAGGCTATGAAGAATTGCGTAGGCTCCGCGATCGAGATGCGTGATATTCCAGTAGGTATCGTGTAATTCTTTGGAGATAATGTCGCCCTCTAGAATATGCTTTTCAATGTACTTAACATCGTGGCCAACATCATCCAACCAATTTCCGTCTGTGGACGGCACAGACACTCCGCTTGATCCGCAGTTCTGGAGTTGCGTCTGGATTATGCAATTCTTAGAGCGTGTCGCTTCCTGTTGCTGAAAACTAGTGGCGATGAGCGTGTGATTCCTGCTCACGAGTGATAACAATCTGCGTTGCTTTCAGGAACGAAAAATGATCGTCATCATCATAGTACTACCAGCTACTGGTACTGCTAGGTGCATCTCTAAATCTGAAAGTTCTGTTATACGTCGCCTTAACAAACTGCGTGTCCGTCGGTGGTATGTTATAGACGGTTGCCAACATCTTTAACGCCTGCTCGCCAGGCGATCCGCCAGCGATAGGAACTAAAATTGAGTGCGGGGATGTCTTGTACTTCTTCCTCATTCTCTTCATCTTCCTTCGTCCGAAAATGAAAGTGAATCTACTTAATCATGACTAGAGAAGAACAATGTAGTTCCTACTACACCAAAACGGTGAAAGCCATGGTCCCAACCGCCTTCAGAACAATGTTCCTTTTTCCAGGAGTAATTGTTGTAGTCAGGAGAAGGAGATCAAGAACTACTAATCTTCCTATTGTTTTTAGAAAATTGGATCAGACGATGAACGCAGAGGACCTGATCCCGATGATGTGAGACTCCGCACTTGTTGATTTGGCATCGGTGCGATAGTTGTCCACACCCGCTCAAGTCCTTGTACTGGTGGGAACGCAGGAGCAACCGTTGTCCTCATAACTCCAGCGTCAGCAGTTGCTGGCGTGATGCACACACCTAATACCCTCTGTACTGCAGGCGCTGTGTGGTTGATGAACGAAAGCCGGAGATGAATTCCAAAGTGTCATGAGATACATCCACCAAGGTAGTAAGTGCCACTACTCACTGTCCTAAACAAGAAAATGTCTAAAAATAGCAGCTACTTATACACCACAATCAAAAAATGCACTGATTCGATGATCGAGAAGCAGATGAAGAGTGAAGACAAGGAGAAAAACATTGATACTTGTCTCAACAACTTTTAGTATTGGCTCTGTTAAAAGTGATGTACTTCTCACAATCTGACGGCAGGTGCCTCCAGGTGGACACTCGTTGTCGAGATTGCACGCCAGGGCACAGAAGTAAGAAGCGAGGTCGGGCCCTTGCAAAGCGCATACTGGCTTTGCAGCTATCATCGGCTCAGCGGGGCATGAGAACCCGTTACCAGCGACACAGGGCGTCGCGCATGTGGACGCTTCTACCATGCCGCCGGTGTTTTTCACTTGCGTTAGCACCTCGGAAGGCTCACATGTTTGTCGATACAATGCGAGTGCAGGGAGCATTTTTTCCCAGAAGGCAGCCGCGAGCAACATCGTGACATGGCGCACGATGATATTGTTTGATGCATACCTCGCTTTCCCGCTCCTCCTTGAAAAGAGAAAGCGTTGGAGGACGCGCTGCCCGCGTTGCCTCATGCTGCCAGCGACGGCCGACCGATGCTCGCTGTTCATCGATGTGAATGCCTCGTCCACGCAGCTAGTTGGCCGCGCTGATTTTCCCATCGTCTTAGACCGTATTCGAGAACAAGACCTAGAACGAGCATTCAACATTGCCGACCGGTCGCGCCGTTTTCCTGCAAACGACCCAGGGATAAGATTAACCTGCGAGCTCTGTGTCGTGCTGCTCCTCTTGCCGTTTCGGAATGCAGAAGAGGTCATGCACGACGTGGCATCGTCGCGAGTGCTTGTCGCAGAGGACGGGCACACCAAGGGTGAATCATCGAGGAAAGCGTACATCGGTATGTCGATCGTTGCGGATAGTGCGAGTTGATGCCGTCGCGTTTCACCGGCGCGGGCAGGTGTACTTTAACGCGTTTTCCTCTATTTTCAATGTTCTTCAAACTCTCTGCAGAATTTGCGACCATGAATCTTTTGCATATCAAAACGCTGATCAGGAAATAAATTTGAATTAATTTGCATAAAATCAAAAATTTTGTGAAATGATTGAAATGTAAATTGAAATATTTTGTATTTTTCGACATGCTGAAAATTTAATAAATATGGATCCATGATTTCGTCCATGTTCGTTGTTCCTTCTCTAATTTTCACCTCTCTAGGAACCCTCATAAACGTTTTTGGAAATCAACCGCTCTGGATACAATTTGCACAGATGCGCCTAAAACCCATAGCGTCGATAAATTTCGAGGATATTTGGCTGAACACAAATACTACAAAATCTGTCATCAATGTTTCATCATGGTAAAGTGTGCAGATTGCGTCTTCATGAAATTTGTAAAAATAAACTTGAAAAAAGATCATCATGTGTAAAGTTCCATGCTTTGGAATCATTCGAAATTCATGGAATTCATGCGTTTAATTTCTCCCAACGATGGCATATCGTCGATAGGTCCCAAAGCCGTGACTGATATCTGCGATAATTTTTAGTTGGTGTTGGAAATCTACTTACGTCATGATGACAATTATTTTTGATGAGAACTGATTGAAATGAAATTGGTGCATCAGGAATTGAAATTATTTGAGAGGAGATAAAATCAAAAATTCTCTGATATGTGTGGTTAGACAGACACAGACAACTACAAATTTACATCGAATTTCAAATACAGTACAACAACTCAGACAGTAGCGCAATAGCATAATAGAAGCGAAATAAGTGCTACCTCGTTCCCATGCAAATACTGGCGCGCAACGCGTTTCACATCGTCTACCGTTATTGCAGAAAGGCGAGCATCCATTTCCGCTGGTGGTATTCGGCGCCCATAAACCAATAAATGTCGACCGATTTCCTCCGCGATGTTCGTCGTATTGTCTTGTGACGCGAATAGTATGGTCTTCAGTTCTCGTTTCGCCCTATCGACTTCATCAGCTGTGACACTGTGAGAAAGCCGGTTGATCCCATACATAAGCTCCTCGACAACTGGTCTCACGGCATCGGCACTGCAAGCAGCGTGCATGCCAAAAAGGCCCGTGTCCTGGTGATAAGGAACAAATAGGTTGAACAGTTACAGTATTAAATGTCAAATTAATTTATGCAAAAGATCTGAGTGATGAAAGCATCTCTGAGACGCGAAAGCCGCTGCTACGAAAAAGAGCTATGCAACAAGGAAACAACTGTACTTCTTGTCGCAAACTCACAAGCTTGCAACACTATCGATTTCTGAAAATCAAAAATGTACATTAACACAAGACCATGTCATAGTAATGAAAGATGTCTACCCGATAGCAGGTGTTGAATGCGCTAAACTGCTCGCAGACTGCAGGCTGGAAGGTCGGATCTTGGCTTTGCAGAACCGCATACCTATCATGCTGGAACTGTGCGATTTCACCTTCCTCCATTTGACTCAACGCTTCGTCCACAGGCATGCCAGCATATTTTTCGTAATAGGGAATGGCGCCTTGTTCCTCGGATGACGATGTTGCGGAGGTAGATAAGGTTCCGTTACCGGTTGACGACGAGGAATTAGAACTAACATTTTTGCGGTCGTCAGATGCTGCGGCGCTCGACGTTGTAGTTGAACTGCCAGCCGCAAGATCAGAGGAAGCATCTGATACCGCAGATGCAGTCAGTTCATCAGTTCCTGCTGCATTTGCACCTTCTGCTGTGACAGGCACAACTAGCTCAGGCTTTTGTATTGTTGCGGGGCCGCACTCGATCAATTTTCTGAGTAGCGTCTGTTCGAGGCGCGATGTGACCGCACGAATGAGCGGATTGGCCGAGAACACCCCCGGTAGCAGTTTTTGAGACTCATCGCGCTTGAAGACACCCAGTAAGGACTGAAGGAGCATAAAGTGGACGGCGTCAGGCGACGTCCATGAGACGCCCTCAAAAGCTATGGCGAAATGCGCTAATTGCGAAGCCGCCGCTTGCTCAGGGTTATGACTCTGCAATGACGTTTTCTCACCCAGTGGGGTCTTGTATAAAAGCTCTGCGCCCCAAAAGCGCGGTTTGGCGGGCGCAGGGTCAGACAGCGACTCTTGTTGCCCCGTTGCTGTCGTCGCACCAAATCGCGCTCGCTCCTCGGACGACAAAGGTGGAGATGAGGTTTTTATCGCGTTGCTGTCTTTACCTCCAGGTCCACCCTCCTCGGAGACACCAGTTCCAAGGGGGTCAAAGGAATACTTCGTTCCGGAGGTGCCAATGCGTTGCCTCTGCATCCACTCTGGTTGCGTATACGGTGTAAAGCCTAGTGGCTCCGTGCGGAAATCCTGGAAATATTGCTCGACAGCGGTCACTAACTTGTCGTGATCCACAGCGCCGCAAGCTATGACGACCATGCGATCGGTCGTGTAATTGTTCTCTACATAGTCTTTCAGATGGTGTTGCTGCAAGTGATGGATGTTCTCCACTGGACCGAGAATTGTGGCCCTGCAAAAGAAAAACGATCATGCGTAGAACAAGAATGTATTGAGTATTGTTCATCATCATCATGATGGAATCTTCAAGCAGAAGACAAAGAGTGAGACTACCACTACATCAAGCTGGCAGTCTCATTCTCAACTTCCGCGTACACGTCTCAGAAGTACTTTGACCATTATAACTTTAGAGATACATAGCAGCGCATGAATGGACAAATTAGCAAAGTAGACACTAATAGAAATCGACAAAATTCGACAAATCTGGGAAATCTGTCGATTTCTGTCGGAAAACGGGGAGCCGGAACGCGCACTGGGGGAGACGAAGACGGACACAGGCGGAGCCGAAGACATCCACTGGCGGAAAGGAAGCGCGAAAGTACCTGGCACGCTTTCCAATGGGAACAGGTAGGCTTTTTGCTTGACAAGGTTTGTTTTTGTTGTTGGGCGCAAGTAGTAACTCTCCGTCGAGCCGTGACCCAAACGAAGTAGAAAGGAAGTCAGCTAGCTAGGTAAACCCAGCTCGTTCCTCAAGTGGAGCGGACCGGAGCGGGCGCGAGAGCCTCGTCCTGGGAGAGGGAGGCGCCCGCTTTGGATGGAGGCAGGATCTTCCTGTTAAGCATGTTAATTTTTTCATCCACAAAAGTCTACTCTTACCTCCGCCAAGGACTTACTTCCATCCACAAAATAGAAGCCATACCCTCCTACCAAAAAGACTCGTCCCCCTCTACCTACGCTGCCTCTACCACCTCCGCAAAAGCTCCGCAGCGCGGCCACTTCTGGCGAAATCTTGTGGCCTGATGGGGATTCGCATCCTCTTGAGCTTTTGGGCTGCCGTGGCCTCCTTTCTGCTTCACCGAGCGGCTACTTTCCGACGGACCGATAGGCGCAGCAGCCGGCTGCGAGATCGGTTCTGCACCTTTCAAAGCCTGAGGGCTGGAGGTCTTAAAGTCTGAAAGTCGAAACTTTCGACCTTGCGGGTAAGAAGCGGGCCAAAATGGCCAAAAAGCTTAGGCTTTCAGGCGATTTAGCTAGAATCCCCATAAAATCGCCCGAAGTCGCGGGATTTTCTTGCTTCCAAGGTCGAAACTTGCGACTTTCAGACTTTGGGGACTCCGGTCCTCAAGCTTTGGAAGATGCAAAAATCAGCTCGCAGCCGGCTGCTGCGCGTTTCGGTCCGTCAGAAAAAGGCCGCTCGGTGGAACAGAGAGAGGGCCGCGGCGGAGGCAGATTGCGCCTCAGCCAGCCGACGACAAGCCCCAAAAGGTGCGGCCCAGTACCAAGCTACAACCTTTCGCCAGACCTGAAGGCTTTGCGGAGATTTTTCGGAGGTGGGGGAGGCAAGATAGGTGTAGGGGAAAGAGCCTTTTTGGTAGGATGAAGCTACTTTTTTTGTAGATGAGAGTAAGTATTTCATGGAGGTAAGGGTAGGCTTTTTGATTGAGAAAAACTGCCGCGCTTAATAGCAAGACGCTTCTCCTTTCATCCAAAGCAAGCGCGTCCGTCTCCCAGTAGGCTCCCGCGTTCGCTCCGGTCCGCTCCACTTGAAGAACGAGCTAACTTCACTTCTACTAAGTTTAAGCCACAGCGCGCATGGTATTGGCTACTTGCTCCCACCAGAAAATGAAAACCAAACCTGACCAAGCAAGAAGCTTACCACTTCCGACAGGAAAGCTTACCAGGTGCTTCCGCGTTTCGTTTGCGCCAGTGCGCGTCTTGGCCTCCGCGAGTGGACGTTCCGGCTCGCAGCCTTCCGACAGAAATCGACAGAATTCGCCGATTCTGTCCAAAATTATTACTGTCTACTTTGCTAAGCAGCTGTGGGCGGTAGTCGTAGTCCTAGTCGTAAAAGCAAAAATCAATACCCTAGCATATGGTCTCGGAAAGCCGCTAGGTGTAATCTATCGAAGATGACTTCCTCGACACTCTTTTCCACTTCTTCCATTTCTCTGGTGATAACAGAGCGCTCATCCTCTACGGAACGATGGTGAATGGAGCTCTTCCCCAAGATATCAGAAAGGATATCCAACGCTTGCATCAAATCATCTGGAAAAACCTGTAGTTGTAGATATTCCAACTCCAAGCGCGAGTTTGTTTGTATTATAACGGAGTGAAAGTATATAAATATACGTACTTTTTCGTCAACAGCAGCAATTTGGCAGTTCCACTGGTGAGAGACAAAAGTTTAACTTTGAGCTACTTAACTCAATTTATGGGCTAATCACTGTATCAAGCTGATCCAACCTTCGCATAGTAGACGGTTTGTTCTCGACTTGTGTATGCGTTCAGGTGACCGCCAATGTTTTCAATTTCCGTTTCCAGCTGGTGCCGCGTCCGTCGCTTCGTCCCTTTGAACGTCATGTGCTCCAGGAAGTGCGCGGCTCCGTTGCTCTCCCGTGTCTCGTAACGCGATCCAGCGTCAATCCATACTCCGACCGTAACCGTACTGTCGGAGACAGCGTTGAGACTCGCAACGCGCATTCCATTGGAGGTCCGGCTGAGACGAAAAGTCCTCTCCGATGCTTGCATTAAAGCTCAGCCTAATCCATTTCCAAGCCCATCCTGAGGCTGTTTCTCTCTTGAAAACGGCTCTGAGATGCTTGCGAAGATGGATCAGAGGAAGCCGTAATTGCAGTGCGCGTGCAACCGCACCATCTGGCGGACAAGTACTCGAGCTAGCTGGAGAATTTCCGGTCAAGAACGAGCGGCGCTGCTGGTGGTGATGACCAATGATGTCGCGTGCATTTTTCGTTTGGTTTGGCGTCGTCGAGCTTGGGATGCTGCTGCTTGATGTTGTCGCACCTGCTGCGGCTGGAGCGGTAAAAGAGGAGGACCATGAGGAGTAGAATCTTCTCAGGTTCTTGTCTCGCGACAAGACTTTCTCGGTTTGGAGGGCTTGACTATGTGCAGCACCTGTAGCGACTTCGCGTATCGTGGATGATGCGGTTGCCCGATGTCGCGCACTACGTCCGACCAGGGAACGAAGACCTTGAGAAAGCGAACGACTCATTGTGTCTCGTCCTAGTGTTCGTGAAGACTGTATTAGACAACTCTTACTCACACACGACTAGTTGAAATAGTTGCAGTAGTTGTTTCGACGCGAGGAAAAGTGGAAGGAGTCTGTGTTCGTTCCGGTACAAAATTTAGGACAAACATCATGCAAATTTATAGCAATTGTAGGCATGTTGGGAAGGGTACAAGTCCACCTTCGAGTAAACTTGTGAAAAATCAAAGCATCTGTTCCTGAAATATCAAAGTTAAAAGTGTCTGAATGGTTCGTCAAGAGTATGAGCAGCGTGCTGAGTGACAAAGACTTTGTCTTATTCCTTCGACTCACAGCCTATATCGCACGTAAAAACTCAGTCGTGATCTTAGAAGAACACTCGCTTTTCCGTTTCTTCAAGGGACAAGATGGAGATTGCGGCCGTTGCTAGGAATGTAGTTTCAGCATCTTCGTGTTTTTTGAAGCGGGTGACAGATGATGCTGATTAGTTTGTAAAGATCACGATCAAGTGAGTCTCATCCGTCTGTTGAAACCTCGATTGTGAAGACCTTACAAGCAGGACTAGGGAAGGAGATACCACGTCAGGGGTGCGATCAAAACTAAAATGCACATCTACAACATCAACTGTTTTTGTTGGACCCTCTGACCACGAGGCTGAGCAAAGAAGTTGTACTCGCGAAGATGAGTTCCTTTCTTGTTTTTAGTTCATGCAATCAACCATTCTTTCAGGACCCTACGACATCTTTGCCCTCTCGAAGAGAGATCTTCAGTTACCCCAGCAGAGCACCCTTTTGGAAATATCCTGCACAAGAAACTGCATTCCAGGAAGAAGGCCCTTTCCCGTGACCGCGCTGCAGGCTACGATGCTCCAATGTCTCGTTTGGATTTTATCGAGTTCCAAAAAGTCCTTTATTTGCACAGACGTGAGCGCTCCCGGCAGGTCTTGCTTGTTCGCAAACACCAGCAGCGTTGCACCCGCCAGTCGGTCCTCTTTCAGCAGCGCCTGTAGCTCCTCTTTGCAGTCCCGCAGTCGCTTTCGATCACTGCTATCGACAACCCATACAAGCCCGTCTGTTGCTTCGAAGTAGTTTCGCCAATAGCTTCGGATCGTTTTTTGGCCGCCCACGTCCCAGATGTTCAGCTTGTACCCAAGAAACTCTAGGGTGAAAATGTTGAATCCGAGCGTTGGACTGATTTCGTCAATCTCGTCACCATTAAACTTTTTCACAATCGTAGTTTTGCCTGCGTTGTCTAGACCCAGAATCAGCAAACGAAGCTCCTTTTCCTTCGTTTTGATCTTGCGCAGCAGGGTTAGCAGCCCCATAATTTCTTAGTTCAAGAGATATTTTGGTTGCAGACTAACTACTAGTCCTGCAGCTGCACTCACTTCTGTGTTCCAATCATAATCAAGAATTTCTCACACTATTTCCAGTATACTCCAATTTCATCCGTCACTGCACATCTTTCGTCACTGTAACTACTGTCTTTGCATCATGTGCTCGTTCAAGTGCTCCTCATGTTTTTGAAAAACAACAGCACCTAGTACGTCGCTCTGCACACTTTCATCATAGTTACCTGCTAAACGACAGTACACACCCAGAAGTACGAACTGCAAAATGTCTGTTTTGATGCTGACTATACTCTTCAGTGTCCCACAGGGAAAGGGAAAGAAGAGCTTGAGCTTCTATGTATGTAGAAGCTTTGTCCCACCTTCCAGTTCCATGTAAGTGTATAATACAACCACCGCCAAAACCTCCAATCTCACCTTCATAAATTTCCAACTTCATAGAGAAGAATGTTTGAAACGACACAGTAGATTCAAATCGACAATCGCAGATTTTTCTAGCAGATCGAGCAGATACCAGTGGATCTTGAAGGTAGCACTCGCTTGCTTAAAATGTAACCGAATACATAGCAGGTCGAAAAATAGGCTTGGTTTTTGGTGGTGAGGATCTAGGGAAGAACCCCTGTGCGTCCACAATCCCGGAATAGTCATCAAATTTACTCGATCATGCCCTACTTTGTAGAATTTCACTTCGTTCCGGCGGCGAGAAGCAACATCGCTCATAAAGTATCGACATCTGTACATGATGCGTTTTGATGATAGCCAGTGAGGTGAGAAACAAGAAAAAGAATGCCAATCTTTATGACCGAGTTGGAGTTGTGATGAAATCTAATCGACTAGATATCAAGCGTCCTGCTTGCTAGTAGTCGGATGATACGAACCTCGGGAGACGTATCTACGGAAACCTACATCAATATCTACATGGTGGGTAGCTTGGGATTAGGTCTCCACTAAAAATAGTCTGAGGCTGAGAGCAGAGGGAGACGGTGGAAAATAAAACTAGATGTCTGTACAGAAATGATCGATTATGGCGTGGCGCTGTCGTCGTGTACGTCTATGTGAGGGTACATTTAAGACATGCTTAATCTTAATAGTCAACGTAAGCATCTCTCTCGATGATGCCTGTTGTGGTGTTCTTACATCTTCTTTCGACGTTGTTCTTCTCTAGCACCACCAGGTCTAGCTAGTAGTCGTAACAGTTGTTCAGAGCATGACTCACATCGGAAAAGTGACAGGGACGGCGCTGTGCAAAATGTTCTGGAAACCAACGACCTGTTTTCGTGCTATTGCTAAAATCAAATGGTGCCGCATTAGACTCGATGAAAAATAAGAAACAGAAGCTTGCTAGTAGAATTGAGAGAAGACTAGATTGAGAAATTGACTGAGAGAGAAACAAGAGAAACTTACTTCGAATAACTTTTGGCGAAGATTTTGTACTGGATTTGATTCCTTGAGTAACATCAATTTTAGTGTCTTTCTAAAAATAGTTATATCGAGGACCTCCTATCGAGCTCGAGCTGTGACTGACACTAAATATTAGTCATCGACGTAGAGAAGAAAAAGAATAGAAAAGCTGTAGTACACCTTTTGTTCTGCATGAGCTACGCAACAACAGCTATAACTAAGTCTAAATTGGTGGTTTAACTTCAATGTGGTTGAAGCTGCTTGTCGGTCTCGCTCCCGGTGTTGTCCTCTTACGATTCTTTTTCTTTTTTTCTATCTTGTTGTATATTTTATGTTGTATTGACATTGAGTATCACGATCACCACCACCAGCTGCTTTTGCTGGCAAGTCATCTGGTTCTGGTCCATCTCCAGATGTGCAATTAGCTGCCGCCTTTCTTCTGAATCTGTGTCGCTTCTTGTTCCTCCTCTACACTTGCAGCATTTGTAACAGCGCTCTCGAATTTGTTCCTTGCGCCGGCGAACTTGAATACTTTCGCGAAGAATTGAGGATCTGCTTGCAGTTTCTGGAGAAGCTGGGACGCCGAATGTGAGTTTCCCACAACTTGCTTCACTGTGGATCCCGATGCTCCAGGCACATTGCGCAGTTTCTCAACCAAACGCTCGCGACGCAGGCTGAGAGCGTCAGGGCCAGCCAGCGCGCACACGAGGGTCTTTGCAGTAGGCATTTTCAGGCCGCAATCAGTCAATTTTTCTAGAGCTGCTACGTCTGAACGAAGTCTCTGGCAGAAGTCGAGCATGTTCACGGGGCCTCGTGGTCGATCGGAATGACATGCCGGTGGCGGCGAAGATGCTGCCTCTTTTTCGTTTTGAGTACCAACATCAGCAGGGGATTGCGTATCTTGAACAGGAGCTGCAGAAAGACTGGCAGTGGCATTACAACTAGTACTAGTACTCGTCGTTCCGCTTGCAGATGTTGTAATTGTTAATGCAGTTTTTTTGTCCTTGTCGCCGTGGTCGTCGCCACTGTTGACACCAGTAAGCTCCACATGGTCCTCTACGAACTTTTCTAATATTTTCGACGCAACTCGTTCAGACACTCCAGGAACCATACTAATCATCATTTCGAGAGACGAACCTTTTTTTCGTCCATGGATCCAGTCACTTGCGTAATCCCTCGGACTCTGCCCACTCAGCGCTTCGTAATAGTTTTCTGCAATCACAACAACGAGTTGATAGGTCTCTGCGACGTCCTGGCTCATCAAAACGGGTATACGATCCCGTAGCACCAAATTTACCAGCTTGCCGTACCTGTTGAAGCACAAGAACGATATGCTACTTCGAGACTATATTTCTTGTTTGATGAACTTCTTCGTGGAACGCGGCTCCAGCAAGCTCCATAGGCAAGAAGACCTTAAAAAACAAGGAAATTACCGCAGCATCAACTGCATGACAAGAAACGAACATAATTCCACCACCAATCGAAGAGTACAAAAGCCTTTTCTTGGATCGTAGGCGTCTACTGTGATCGATTGCTGCGGCAGAAAAGCCTTCGAGGATGATAGCCGCACTTCCCATTTTGTTGCCTTGTGTCAGAGCCAGCTCTCTTTAGAGGTAGCTAGATTATCATTAAATATGTGGTCGAGGTATGGTCCCTCATTGCGTCTGTTTCCCGGCAGTCTCTTCTTGAAACCAAGAAGGGAAGCCAAGCACGATAGGTACCTCAAACAAAGTAGTTTATGATCGACTAGCCTTAATTGTTGCCTAGCTGATTGTGTAAGCGCGCGTCAGTTATAGAACTCCAAAAGTCGCTCACAGATTTCCTCTCGAGAAAAACTTCTCGACCGGGTTCGCCGATAACGATATCAGCCACTTGCAGCCGCTTTTTCTCGAAAGGAATGACACCTAGACGATCAGCAAGTTCCGCCAGTTTGTGCTCTCGGTCGTCAATCAAAACAGGCGGCATCTTCGGTGGCCTTTCGCGCTGCTTCTTGAACACGATTTTGCTTGGCTTTCCGCCGCGCGAGGATAAACGAAAGGTGGAACCTCCTAGCCGATAGATATCTGGAGTTCGCGGTCCACCGCTCGACACTAATTTCCTACCCCCGCCGAGCGCTGAAGACGACGGGACAGATGCTCTTTCCTCGCGACTCTGCTTCCTAAGCGAGCCCGCAGCCTTTTCACCATCCTCATAGTCCTCGTATTCGCGGACAACGCAGTCATGGTCCCGGGTTGCATAATGGCCCCACCTGATCAAATAATGTTGACCTATGAACAAGTGGAGGATGGAGAATTATTGCAGACGGAGATAGCATTGGCATCTTCAATTCAACTTCCAAAAAACTATTGTGAGCAGAAATAGGTAACAAGAAGTACGCTCTGCAATTTTTCGTGTTGCGTTTGCGATGGAAGAGATCGGCTAGCCTCTTGTTGAATTGAAGGCGTCCCGCAACTTCTTCATCGCTCAGATTCGACACGAAAACAAAACTTCGTTTTGTTTTTCGTCGGCGCAATCGAAAGACTTCTCTGCCGTCTTGTAGAATAACTTGCTCATTCGTTCCCTCCGACGCCTTCATTTCCTTATACTTCTGTAATAATCTCCAGCATTTTTTGTGTGTCATAAGCACGCGCTCGTGTTCTAAGGAGTGGTCTCCTGACTCGTCGCCTTCAGCTCCCTCTTGGAGCTGCGGCGCGTCCGAAGAGCCTTCGGCATCTGAGGGAGTAGTTGTAGCTGCTGAAGGTGATGTACGGCCACGACTGGTTGATGTGGTGCCAGTAGATTTTTCGCTGGCTCCAGCAACTTCGGGGGGTGGCATATTGACATCAGATGCGGCCAACGCGTTTGATGTAGGTGCTGCTCGTGAAGACGACCTGCGTCTGTCGTCCGAAGGACGCGTAGAACTAGCGGAAGAATTCTTGCCAAAAGAGCCTTTGCGTGGGTTGTTGGATGACGAGGAGGATGATGATGATGTGGCACCACCTCTAGACGTGGCACTTGTCGCTGTACTTCGCGTTGATGTTGTAACGACAGCTTGAGTTGCAGCAATTTTATTTCCGTAATTGGGGGACTGCAAAAAAACTATTCGCTCAACTGCCACTGGAAAGTCCATCGGAGTCGGCATCCTCTTGTACGCGTTGCGCGCAAAAGCGCCGTGGACTCGCTTAAATTTATCATTTGGCCGCAACGTTGAGGACTTACTGTAGCTGTAGTATGTCGTGTCTGCCTCCATACTTGCTCCCGTCGCGTTCTCGCCCGGCTTTTTCTGCGAGGAAAAAGACGACCACGAAGAGCCGGAGGAGCCGCCAGAGGATGTAGAGGAGATGGTGCGACAGCACATCTTTGACGAAGGTGCTGAGATGAATTGTTCAGCACGGCGCACTCTCAATAGACGGTCGGAAAACGAACGAGCAGATGTTACGCGCAGCGGGCCCGACGAAACACAACCGAGGATCATTCTTTTAGCGAATTTTGCCTCTGCAACATAATTTATAATGACAGAGTAATTCACTGTATACTTGAGTAGATGGACGAGGCCACCTTGTTCATCTGTTCATAATCAATTTCGTCAATATGGTACGGCTATCATCGCGTCGATAACCAAATTATATATCATCAAGTCGACAATGACAACTTGATGCGTGAAAGCAGAGGAGGGTGACCACTACGAAAACCTCCGCGCTCGACATCATGGACGCCAAAACAACTAAGTGGATGAATTGTAGAGAAATGCTTGTGCTTCGTGAAGATGCCCGCGGCGTACTCAACGTGACCCTAAGGGGACTCAGTTCTAGCATTAGCCATAGCTTTTCTCGAGTGACCACTGTGGAACTGTAGTCTTGTCCTCACATCAGTATCACCAAAACATCCGCGGAGGTGGTATATGACGCAGATAGAATTAGAGGCAAAGTCACTCGATTTCATACGTGCTGCTCAGCTTTCCTCCGATGATTCAGATATTATGGTACAGAAGCAACAAGACCTGATTTTCGCCTCAGACGAACACGGAAAAGTCCAGAATCTGATCCTGATGTACTCTATACTTCATGCACAGTTCATCTTGGCCTGCTCTACTGCATGATGAGGCTGATCATGCTTGCTATAGTTTATCAGTAGCACCCGCAAACCCAGGGGAGAGTTTGAGAGAAACGATATATGCGTGTAGTAGTTGCCGCTGAATCGCTGAAATTCATGGTGGGATGAAAGGTCTGGACAAGGGAACGACGTCGAGGATGCAGGCGGGATGTTTTTCGTTCAATGTAATGTTTCATTATGCTGTCGTCCTCAGCTCGTCGCGCTTCGTGAAAATGAGGATATCTCGATCAAAGCCACCCGACAGGGATTTTCCGGGAATCTTTTGCAGAAGAACGAAACCACCAGCCGCAGGATGACTCGACAAGCAAAGACTTTGCCGAAACTCCCTTGCAGCTTCGTCGTCGTCGCGCGGTGTTTGCCTTGAGGGTGCTGGTGGCGGACGCAGCGATTCGGGTTCGGTGAGGTATCGCACGAAGCTTCCGGGATGTAGTTGGATTTCGTTAGAAACGCGATGCTCAATTTCTGCGGTGAGTTTCATCTTTTTTCGGTAACTGCTAAAAGGTTGTGGCTCAAGCACAAAATGCCCACCGTCGGCAAGGTTCATGTAAATTTGGTCGAAAAACCGCTGCAGGCCGGCATCTCCAAATTGGTAATGAACCCACTTCGTAATCGAAAACGCAAACACCACGTTGAAAAGAAGGTCGCGACGATCGTCGGCTGTATTAGGACCTCGAGCGCAGCACGCACTTCGTTGACATCCATCAGTCACTCGTTCATGAAAAGTCAGTCCATAGCGCTTCGAAAAGCGAATGTCGTGTGTTGCGGTCGCGAAATTCGCAACGTCGAAGAAAGGAGTTGATAACCTCCAACAAACTTCAGTTGAGGAGCTGGAAGAGGACTCTGTTGTTAGGGTTAGCTCAGCATTATCTCTTGTTCCGGGATAAAGGTGACGACATGCAGCTTTCGCTATCAGGCTAGCGTCGATGTCGCATCCTACAACTATCGGCGGGGATGCAGCCTTGATGTTGATTTCCGGATTGGAAGAACTAAAACTAAATGAAGATGTGTCGCGTACTTTTTCTCCTGCTCCAGTCTGTTCAGCAGCAGAACAAAACAAGGCCCTACGCGCAAGCTCCGAAGTCACGTCACCGACATTACAGCCAACGTCCAGCATATGCTTTCCTCGTAAGTCTAGGTGTTTGGCAATAGCCTCTAACCTACCATCATGTGTTCGATAGTTGTAATACGTCGCGTAGTTTCCAAACGTGAACACTGGATCACCTTTGCAATCATGAAAAGCTGGCCCCGAAATCGAACTAACCACTGGAGCACGTTGTTTTTTCGTGCCATCCGGAACAAGAGTCTGTATCACAACGGCCTGCTTCACGTCTTCCTGCTTTTCAGGTTCGGCCACCTCATCGTCAAGCCGTCGTCTCTTGGCCATTGATGGAGCTGGTGGATCGTTCGCATTCTCGCTAGCGTTTTCATCTGCAGCATCGACGTCAACATCTTCAGTATTGTCTTTGCTGTCAGCACCTTGCCCTTGTTCTGAATCGCCGCTTCCTCTCTGCTTCACGGCCAGCTTTGCAAGTGCGGTTGGCGTAAAGTTCCGCATTAAGAGTCCCAATCCTCGCCCTGGCCGAGCACCAGGGTAAAAACCCTCACAGCGGGTCCCCATGCCGTCCGACATCCTTCTACTGAGTTTCAATACCAGCTACCACACACTAGCAACAAGATGATGAACTGAGACAAGTTATCACGCAGCCGTGATACGTACGTCACACAAGCTCTGTCAACATCAACATCATAATTCGATAAAGCGGCGAGCAGACGATATCGTAGCTCACACCAAAAATAGCAGGACAACGATAGAAATCCCTATCTCACTTGTTGAAGAACTGTTAGTTTCGCTACATCATTATCCGCATCAAATTTCCCGAGCCTGACCCTGTTCACTCATGAGGAATTGCTGAACTTGTTGTTGTTTTTCACGGCCATAGTTTAATTATAGAGTCCTAGCCCGTGGGTTAACCACAACCGTACCAGCAACATCAAATTTCGATTTCTTTTGAACGATCGTTTCATGGACAAGACCTTGCGATTCCTGGAATCTACTAAACGGATCTCCTTCGTCGGATCAGTTTTTTTTCGCAGGTAGTTACGTGAATCTAGAGATCTTCTTTTTCGCGCGATTGCTGATAGTCGGAGTCTGGATTTAGAGATCTTGTTCTTCATCTTCTCGGCCACGGCACACGGCATGATGGTCACTTTTTCATCTAGTGAGCTTTACCATTTTTCGGGTCAGCAGTTTCGTCTTGTTTTCGGGTCATGATTCAGTTGGGTCTTCCAGTCAGTCAATCAGTCAACTATATGTGGCCGTCTAACGAGCGGCGGCGCTGGATAACGGAGGAACACACAGACCCAGGGCCAACTCTGGACTGCGCAAGTACGACTGCGTTCCCGCTGACCTAGCCCACAAAAGATCATCCATAGCAAAAGACCAGATCAATCAGTCAATCAATCAATAATATGCGGCCGTCTAACGAGCGGCGGTGCTGGATAACGGAGGAACAAACAATCAGGGTGCTTCCAGTCGCTGGCGGTTATGTATATGTTGAACATGAATGAGTATGAGCTTAGCTAGAAACCTCAAGATTATAATTCCAATTCTGGAGGAGACTCAATTATTGCCTTTGCTTAATCGACGATAATAACAAGGAGCCAAATATAGGGAAGACAATCGGTGAACTGCTAGCAAAATCAAGATGGTTTTTCACTCTTCCTATGGCGGCGTCCTGATCCGCGTCTGATGAATCAAGAAAGACCTGGCGGACAGTACCAAATGTGCACAGAAATCCGGTCTCTCCGTTGGTCCCAGTAATGCTTACGAGGAATGAAGTTGCTACGTAGGTAAGCGAGCGGAATATGGACAGCGCAATTCTTGGGGACTGAGTGTTGGGCGAGGGCTCGTTGAGTTTTTTTTCATAAAACTATACATCCTAACTGTTCAGATGAATTCTGTCTGTTTGGGTCTAGTGCGTAGTCTCATACAAGAATCAATTTTGAGTAATCATTTTGATTTTCGAAGACGAGATGGGTAAGTCGCTTCATGATGTTGATACACGAAGATTGATACTTCTTTTTTTCATTTCGGCGATCGCGATCCTGGGTTCTTCTGACTGGATGCGGTTAGGGAACTAGCACTTCCTGCTAGTATATCTTAGCCTTTTATCAAAATGAGACTCATGAGGGCAAGCTGGGACTAAAGGAAGAAGCTCTCAGTTGTCTAGTGGTACTAGTAGTTTTAGAAACATACAGAAATGATTAAACCCAGGTAAAAAAATTAGGTGGAATTATGCGAAAAATTAGGGAGAATATGTAAAAAAATTCATTTTTCAGAGTTGTGGATTGAGTTGCTTCATGCTTGAAAAACTTCGATCATCGGGAACGCACTTCCAGGTTTCCAAAAGGAAGACTTTACTGCTTCCATGAAGGGTTCGGCAGATCCAAAAATCAGGAACGTACTTCCGGGTGCACCAACTTCAGATTTTGAGGAGGTGCTTTGAGCTTCCAAAAAGTTGAACTTCGTGATCTTGTTTCGATGACCGAAAAAGTTGAAAATCGATGAGTGCAAACGCCGTCGGAGAGATCGAGAAGAATCTAGGTTTTTTGATGGAACAAACGAACTCCATATGTTTAAGGTGGCGGAGTCACCACCCTCTATCTAAGGCGACGAGAAAAGTCTCGTTTTTTATTTCACATATGGAAAATAAATACAACTTTGAAACTTTAAAAGAACCGGGATGAAAATATTTGCATTGGCTTCGACAAGTATGAGAATCGTTCGGGTCATATTTGTTGAATGAAAATGGAGCATGCAAGAGGTGCTTCCTACCACCTCATAGTGTGCGGAGCTGGATCGCCCTCGAGAGAGACGCGCTTACTTTTTCCAAGAAGCAATAGGTTCTATTGTCTCGGCTGGTAACAAATACTCTGGTGGGGAGGCATTCTGAGACGATGAAGGTAGATCTAGTTTCTCTTGAAGGTAGATCTAGTTTCTCTTTTTGATCATGCTGATGCTGAAGTAGATTGATGACACGACTTGAGTAGTCGGACTGCTAGCAATGTTAGACACCACTTTTAATCAAAGAACAAACAGAAGAACAATAGTATAAGAACCGTAAGTGAGTACTTGACTTTCTTTTCGAATAATATGCTGAATTCCAGCTGCACAAGAATTAACGTTTATTTTTTCAAGTGAGGGAAGCAATTTCAATGTCGTGATGGGAACAAGATGGAAATGCGTTTGGATAGAGAGAACGCCTATTACGTTGAAGTTAGAGCCCCCCCAGCGGTTGCGTTTCACGTTTTAACTCCTACCCTAACTCGGATTAAACTCCTGGCACATGCTCGGGCTCGTTTCTGCTGTTAAGGGGGTCAGCTTTTAAGCCTAAAAAAAACCAGCCTGGTCGCATTTTTTGGCGCCTGAAAACGCAGAAAAAAAGAAGGCGCTTCGGGGTCTTTGTTTCCCTTTTATGCAACCGGCGGCACATGGCTGAAAACCTAAAAAGTCTGGGCATACTCTTCCAAATGAAACACGACGAAGCCCAAGCGACGCCACTTCAGTGGCCCGCTGCTTGCTCTTAGGTCTAGCTTTCGCCTTTTTTCTTCTTTTTGCTCGCTGCGCTTTCGCCACTGGGCTCATGCTGGTGGCAGGGCCCTCCTTTTGCTCGGCGGTCTCTCTTTTTTGCTTGCGGCGCTTTTGGTTTTTTCTGCCGGGCTCTTGGGCGGGGGCTGTGGGCACTCTTTGGCGGGGCAAACCCGCCCGCCGTGCGCGCGTGCTCCTCTCCCCTTGTGGCCCCCCCGCTAGCGCCCCGCCTCCGGG